ATATGTGTGTGTGTGTGTGTGTGTGTGTGTGTGTGTGTGTGTGTTTGTGTGTGTGTGTGTGGTGTGTATATGAGCTGAAATGCATTACCCTTCCACTTCTCCACTGGTAGATCCATATCTTCAAAACTTTGATCATATGGTAGAGAAATTGGTTCGTCAGTTGGATCTGCATATTGTGCTAGATACGGATGTGCTAAAGCTTGTTCTGCAGTAATTCTCTTTTCAGCATCCAATTCCAACATCAATTCCAACAAATTAATTGCTAAATAAAAATTGAATTAGTTTATTTATATATGAATTCAACGATAAGTATATCCATGCACATGTATGCACACACGTACACACGCGACACACACTTGAAAAATATATATTATTTACCTAAAGGATTAGCTCCTCGAAATACATCTTTAAAATTCTTTTTCTTCAATGGTGGTAAACTTTGAATATAATTCCTTGCCTATAATAATAATTCAAATGTAGTAAAGAAATAATGCTACCACATCGCGAACAAAAAAATGATATATAATTATGTGAAATTTTATATATAATTATATCTAAATTATATACGATTATATATAAATTATATTTGAATTTTGTCTATATATATGGTCACATATAATCATATATGTTCATATATATCTATACAATCAGGATGTCTGACTCGTACCATATCAGATTTAATATATAGCTAGAATAGGTCGGGGTAAGTAATGGAATAGGTATTTTTTTTAAACAACAACATGTAAAATCTCAAGTTATTAAATAAAATAGATGGGATAATCAGAGCGCGTGACGCGGTAAGCGGGACATACGGTCCCCGTGGCCGGCGAAGAAAATGAACGATTGCTCGCGGGCTTGTCACGCAGTGTCAGATCTAAGACGTAGTCACCACTTCTCGGCCTATGAGATGTACGCACCTAACTCAAATTTTACGTGGTTGTTTAAAAAAAGACACTGATTCCATTACTCACTCCGACTTCTAACTATATATTAGCTCTGGTACAGTATGACATTCTGTATATAGTCACATATAATCATATATGTTCGAAAAATTGTTTTAATTTAAAAAAAGAAATGAAAAGAGAAGAAATGAAAAAGAGAAGTTTCATTCAATTAAACGTCGATATCATGTGCTAAAAGATTTATTTCAATTATATTTAAATAACAATATTTTTTTTGTTATTGACATATATGATTATATATGATTATGTACGTTTATATGGATACAAAATTCATATATGATCATTTTTCTCTGGGATATTATGTATATAATCTGAATAAATTTTAATAACTTTGTATTTCACTTTATCAATAGAAATAGTTGAGATCCTCTAATAAGGGATCAGACAAGTTAACAGGTTGCGGATTAGTCACCGCCATTCGGGGGACACCGTGCTTCGAAAAGTGCCAAGTTTTTGACACCTATGTTAAGCAATAAGCGCTATGGGAGCTGCTTTGTTGGTTGAATGCCGATGTGTAATCGAGGAGAAAATTTATAAAATAAACTCTTAAAAATATTATATATGAAAAAGAAAGGTTTAATGCTGATCCTGTGACAATTAATAGTTTAAAAAATCATTATTAGAAATAAAAATTATATAAAAATCAATAGCTAACCTAGAAACAGAGGTAATTTTTGTTTTCTGGCTTTTATGAGTTTTAGAATATAAGCAATGCGAACGTGCACTACTCGTAATTGCCGTAATAGTAGTAGAAATGTAATAGAACCATAAAATGTTTAACCTTTGTATATAACCCTTTGTATATATACTGGATGGTTATTACCCATAACTAAAATTAAGCGCTATCATACATCTCCAATTTTTGCATTGGTATGCTCAAACCTACCAAATTTATTTACTATCACATTTACCAAATGTAAATATACATATGTATATATGTACATATATACATATATACATATGTACATATGTATATATAAAATTACATATGTATGTATATGTAAAATTGTAAATATACTTTTTCCAGAGATGACTTACGAGACAATTTTTTCCTTAAAGATAAATTTCAAGAATAAAATGCTAAATTTTTACTTAAAAATAATAAAAATTATAAAAATTACAAATTTGTAAAAACACACTTTTTTTAAAATCGCGAAATATAATTTTTTTTTATATGAAATTTCTTAAATTTTAATACCAAAAGTATATAAATACTTTCTATAAACAGTAAAGTTAATCTATGAATTTTTTCTGAATTTTAGCATAAATATTTTAAAAGATACAGCTGTCTAAAAATTACCGTGGGTGGCAACCACCCAGTATGTATGCGAGGTTGAAAAAAATGAGAGTATATACAAGGTGTCTTAAAAATTTGGGAACCTCTGAATATCTCTTTATAGTGAGGTTTTTCGATAAAACTTTCAAAACAAAAGTTGTAGGATTTCAAAAGCTGAATCTGAGGGTGACCTTAAAATTGACCTTAAGTTTGACCTTGAAAGTCATTTTAAGGTCAACTTTATTTTTTCAAATGGAACATGCATATTTTCGTAACGGATTCGGAATCTACGCTAAAAACTGAGAAACTTTTGTCTGAAACATTTTTTCAGAAAATGCTCTCTTTGACTTTTAAATTCAGCTTCTGAAATTTCTTAAAAATATGGGAACCCCTGAATATCTTTTTATAGTGAGGTTTTTCAATAAAACTTTAACAAAAGTTGTAGGATTTCAGAAGCTGAATCTGATGGTGACCTTAAAATTGACTTTGAAGGTCATTTCGAGGTTACCTTAATTTTTTTTAATGGAAACCCTGACCC